TGCATTCCTAAGCCATTTCCCCAACTGGAGGGTTAGATCTTAACACTGGGTGTTTCTGTGAGCTTTCCATTTATTGAGGTCTTCAGCGTTTCTCGGCAGTGTTTGGAATTTTCGTGTTGAAGGTCTGGCATGTGTGATTAAATGGATCACTACACACTTGGTCGTGATTGTTAGTTGATACTAGTTAGAAATACAGTGGACATACATTTTAACTTCCTGGGTGTCTTTGTGTGGTGTTGCTATAAAGGAATACTTGAGGCTGGGTAATTTATAAAAGGAGGATTATGTGGCTCATGGCTGTGCAGGCTGTATAAGCAGCATGGCCTGGGCGTCCGCACGTGGTGAGGCCTCAGGCTGCCTCCACTCACGGCCGAAGGGGAAAGGAGCTGGTGGGTGTGAAGCATGTGGCCAGAGCAGGTGAGAGAGGAGAGGAGGCTGGGGGCTGGGGGGGGGGGGGGGGCGGAGGCACCAGGTTCTTTTAAACAAGCAGATCCTGTGGGAACTAACAGCAAAAACTCACTCACACTTGGCCAAGGGCACCAAGCGCTTCACAAGGGATTCTCTCCGTGATCCAAGCATCTCCATTCAGCCCCACCCACGCGATGGGGATCAGATCTCAGCATGCATTTGGAGGGACGGACCTCCTAGGCACAGCACTGCGCAGACACCCAGGAGAGGAGTGGCTGGGCTGGACTTGGGAAGAAACTCCCAAACTCTCCTTTCTCAGTGCTTGTGGTGTTTGCATCCTGCCAGGAAGGCGTGGGAGACCAGCTGTTCTGCACACTCCTGCCACCTCGTGGCCACGCGGGGCTTTGGAAGGTGCTGGAGCCCAGTCCTGCGTCTTGTCTTCTCAGCAGTATCTTTTAAGCAAACATTTGTCATTTTGAGGAAGTCCAATGGATTATTTTATGGTTCATTCTTTTTTGTCTTCCATCCCAAGGTCAAAAAGACTTACTCCAGTATTTTCTTTTTGGAATTTGTATAGTTGTTAAATTTAGATCAGGGTGAACCCCTCCCCCTCCCCAGTATCTGCTGGATCTGTGATGATATTCCTTCTTTCATTCCTGATATTGACAGTTTGTGTTCTTTTTATCAGTCGTGTCAATTTTGTTGATTTTTTTTTTTTTTTTTGAGATGGCATTTCACTCTTGCTGTCCAGGCCGGGGTGTAGTGGCATAATCACGGCTCACCACAACCTCCAGCTCCCGGGTTCAAGTGATTCTCCTGCCTCAGCTTCCTAGGTAGCTGGGATTACAGGCACATACCACCACGCCCGGCTAATTTTTGTATTTTTAGTTGCAACGGGTTTCTCCATGTTGGTCAGGCTGGTCTTGAACTCCCGACCTCAGGTGATCTTTTGGCCTCCTAAAGTGCTGGGATTACAGG